AATTTTATCATGGATGAATAAAATTAAATATACTTATATACATAATACATAAAGCTATGGCTAATTTATTAAAGCCATGCATGAACTTACATTGAACACCATGAAAGATTGAAACTACGGAAAAAGGTATGTTCAAAGTCTGTTTACCTTTTAAAGTTATAAATTTAGTAAATTAAGCTGTATTAAGTTGTCAATATGTGTACATCATACGCCATACGCGTATGTTCTGTGGTATTATGATGCGAAAGGCGAATATAATATATTATTATTTTTTTTTTTATATTGGTTAAGCATCAAGTATAGGTTGTTACTTTAATATTAGCTTTAACAATAGTACATAGGCGCCAAATCATTCAAAAATATTAAGGGTGCTTAAGCACCCAAGAAATTTTGGAGGAAGCAAAGCCTATATTAGTTTTCTGTGCCGTGTAAAATTAACATTTTTTGAATAAGTCTAAGGGATCAGCAAGTTCGGCCATGTGTTATACTTATTAATTATAAAAATGTTTGGTTTATATAAAATATTTTATGACGTGTTACTGAGGAGTTCAGGRTTTGTTTTTTATRCAATGTTTTATGTACAATAAAGTATATAAATATTTGAATTAAAATAATTTTAACACCTAGGTACTAACTTTTCTCCAAGGCAGCGATATTACCAGCTTTCTGTACAATATCTTTACGCACGACATTCCTAAAACTTGCTTTACTGAACTCRGTTCCTACGCGGACGACACGGCAATTATGGCTTCCAATGAAAACCCAATCATTGATTCTACATATCCTACAAAGACACTTCAACATAATTGACCTCTGGACAAAAATATGGAAAATTAAAATTAACGAATCCAAGTCCTCCTTTATTACATTCATCCTAAGAAAAGGATCTTGTCCATTTGTCACAACGAACAACATCCCAATCCCCTCCTACTCAAGAAGCCAGAAGTMAAATATCTTGGTCTCATCCTCGACGATAATAAACTAACCTGGAATCCTCATTCCTCACCCYAAGGCCAAAAGCCAAATGAAAACCCCTATTAATACCCGCCCCACCTTCTTAGACCCCTACTGAAATCTAAGATGAATATAAACACCAAACTACTAATTTACAAGTCCTTATTCAGGCCACTATGGACCTACGGCGTTCAATTAYGGAGTACCGCTAAACCTTCAAATACCCGTACATTCCATTCCAAACCTTTCATTCAATATGCCTTCGCCTAGTTTCATCTTCACCTTGGTATTTAACCAAAAACAATCTCAATAAAAATCTTAAAATTCAAAATATTA